TTACACCACTTCCCCCACCCCATCATTTGTTTGCTACACGTCTTTTTTCTTAGTACCTATGGGTCCTCTATTTGTTGATAAGTGTTTTAACTTGGTGCATATTTAAATCAAACACACTGTAACTAATTGAATGATAGCTTGGCGAGGCCACTCTCGAGTTAATTTTGTAGAGTTGAATCACCTGAGAAGCTTTAAAAATGACTGATACCCAAACACAATTCTGAAATTCTGATTTAACTGGCTTGGGATATGAATTGAAGCTTCTGAAAGCCTGGGTGTAGATTCACAATCGACTACTACTCAGGCTCAGACTGACTTGGATTGAAAGGGTCCACCACCTAGAAGGGAAACTTCGTATAGTTTTTCTGCCTGGGCTTGATGGGGAGACTACCCCAGACATCAGAAGTGTTTGCTTTTTCATCTACAGTTGATTTTATATCTGTATATCTGCTTGTTATGGGGTGCTTCCCTGTTTTGGTAGCCAATTAGAGTTTCCCCAATTACGGCCTCCATCCTTCTTACAAGACAACTGAAGGCAATATGATTATTGAGCTGTATTGGCATGCCATTGAAGAGCTTCTAGGAATAAACTATTAAAAAAAACCCCCGTAATTCTTTAGTTTTGCCAACCATTTTGGTATAATTAGTTAGAGGAAGGGTAGTGTAAGCCTCACCCTTTTAATCACCTGAACAAAGCCCCTTTGACTATGCCCAACATTTCTGAAAGCTTAGAAAATGTCATTTTACAGTTAATTTAAATCAAATACAGAAGTAAGCCTGGAAGAAGATAAACAACACTGGACTTACGAGTCAGAATGGGCCCGGCTGGTGAGCACCAACCTATGAACTAGGAGGTCATGGTTCCATTCTTGGTCAGGGCACATTCCTGGGTCCTGGGCTGGTTCCCCAGTAGGAAGTGGGCAGGAGGCAGCTGATCAATGATTCTCTCTCATCATTGATGTTTCTACCTCTCCCTCTTCTATCTTCTCTGAAACACACACACGTCAGAACGGGGTTCCGGTCTCACTGACTTGAATTATTTGTTCTTGGAGGACAGCAAGCACTGTTTACCATATTTATATCCCCAGATTCTAACAGAATACCTGTCACATATCTGATGGATCAATTTATTCACTTTGATATATTACCATTTTCAGCAAGAAATTGAAGTTGTACTGAGGGTGGAGCACCTACATAATTTTTGTTTATTAAATGCTGTTTTAAACTTTTTTGGTGGCAGAAAATATTGTATTATGGACTGAGTGTAGAGAACATCCCATCAAATGGGATGCTTAAGATGTTTGTGGTAGCCGAGGCCGGTGCTAGAGTTTAGGAGGAAAACAACTTGTTTTCCAGGCTTTCCCCCCTTTTCCTACAATGGAATTGAAGTTTATCATGAAATGATGGCGAAAACACTGTAATCTTTCCCAGTATCCAGTCGGGATCCAAAAGGAGGCTTTGTGACAGGCCTCACGTATAGGGCCGATGCACTAGGCACAGGCCATGGCCATTGGCAACATTCCCTCATCTTTCCTGGCTTTTTAATTTCAGTTATTGCCCAGTGGTCCAAAAGGCAAACAACTGCAATGCCCTTAGTTTTCCCTATCAAAGTGAACTAACTGCCTACTAGTCTATGTGTTATCACGAAACTGGTGTGCCTGCCTGCAGATGTCCACGTGACAGAGAAGGAAACTACTGAACGCAGAGAATCCTGGGAATCAAATCTCATACTTAGAGGAGGTCTGGCTGGATTTACTGTCACATAACTTTTTATTTCTTTTTTTTATGAATTGGAGCTTTACCTCAATTATGAGTGCTCAGTTCCTATGGGGCTCATGGTAAGAACTGGTGACGAAGCGAACACAGGGCCCCGGAACCTGCCCTCTTTCGGTTCGGACCCCAGCCTGGGTTCCAGGGAACTGGCCACTTCCGCCCCCATCCCCGGGCCCGCCTACTTCCGCCTCACATAAACAAACGCTCGGCGCCTGCGTGAGGCGAGCCCATCGCAGCCAATGAGGTGCCAGGAACAAAAATCAGTGACCAATGAGATCCTGGGAGGTCTCGGCGGTCGACCAATTGCGAGGCCTCGCACCCGGATATGATTGCCGGTTCTGAAATCAAGCTCTGAGAAGGAGCGGCGTTCCGCATGTGGCCGGGCTGTGGGCGCGGAGTCCAGGGCGAGCGCGTTACGTTCAGCGTCTCGCGCGTGCGGTTCACATGTAAGGGTCCTTCCTTTGGGTTTTGAATGGGGGAGAAATCAACGTGGCTGCTTGTCTGTGGGAAGGAAGCCCATTGAAGTGTCCCGGAGCGGAGCCAGCGTGGGGGAAAGCCCCTCCGTTGGTACCTCCCTTACACCGGGTGGGACAGCCTGGAAGACGCAGCTGCGGAGTGGAAGTATGAATCTCTTACCTAAGAGCTCCAAGGAGTTTGGCTCCGTTGACTATTGGGAGAAGTTCTTCCAGCAGCGCGGAAAGAAAGCTTTCGAGTGGTATGGAACTTACCTGGAACTGTGCGGGGTGCTGCACAAATACATGAAGCCCCGGGAAAAGGTAAGCGCGGCCAGGCCGCTGAGAGAGAGAGAGAGAGAGAGAGAGAGGGAGGGAGTGGGAGAGGGAGAGAGGATGAATGTGTATGTGCGTGTGTGTTCGTTCAGGAACGTGGGAACTGCCTTCCAGGTTATCCTGCACACGGTAAACAGGGACAGGCGTGGGAGCCCTAATTGGGCCCATAATTTCAGGAGTTCATGCATCATTCTGGCTGAAAGGCAGTTAAAAATATTCTTTTAAAGGTTTGAGATGAAAGACTTCCCGCCCCAGCTCATTCTTCGATGAATAACCCCACTGGAAGAGTCACTTTTTTTTAGTAACTCAACCTAGATGTGGCCTCCTGGAGAATAAAGTGTGCGTTTCTGTCACAGCATCTTTGTGGAGAAGGCACTAGCGCTGTTTCACTGATACACAAGTCTGTAATTGTAGCGGGGCCCACTGAATTTCAGGCAGTGTGCTCAGCCCTTACGCTACCAGAGCACTAAGATAGAATGCCCTGGGCACAGTCCCGAAGAGAAAAGTGGTAAGTACAGTAAGAGGAGTTTTGACAGAGGCGGGCTTGTACTGGAGGTAGGGAAGGGAGGAGGGTAGAGAGCTTTAAGGAAGTTTTAAGCACCAAGCCTTGTGCTGTGTGTGTGTGTGCGCGTGTGTTTGATAGTTGAATTCTCATAATAAACTCTGTGAGGTGCGTGGTGTACACACATTATACAGATGGATAAATGAGGCTCGGAGATCCTAAGATATCTTACATGTAGTAAGTGGCCACATGGAAGTTTAAACTCTGGCCCATCAAGCTCCAAAGTTTAGGCACTTCTCATTGTGTATTCCATGCTTTTCTAGTGATGGTGACATCTGGGTAGTATTTGGAAGGATTGATGGGAGGTTGCTGCATAGAGCAGGAGGCAACAACTTGTGTATTTAAGTTCAGCTTCAGAAAATACCGGGATATCATGAGGAGGAGCCAAAGGCATGAGTGGAATAGGATGATGCCAGAACTAGGTTTTCAACAGTGAAACAGATAGGAGATTTCAACTGTAACTACTTACTGCATTTGGATTCTGTGACTTCCTACCAGTTCTTGAGTAAAAAATGCCCGATTCAGAGAAAAGCACAACCACGATTAGTTTGTTTCTGTACTACGGAAAGCCCATTGTCACATAACCTGCATGGCTGTCGCTGAATGTAATTTTCACTAGTGAGTCCTCTAATCAGAGGTGTTTTAAGATGGAGCCTAGAACCATCTCTGTAACGGTGCTCTCTTCTGTGACGGCGTCTTCCCCTTCTGAAAACATGCAGCGGCCAAGGTGAGACTTGATTCCTTCACACATGCGAAGCTCATTCCTTTGCCTTAGTCACCTCCGTCCTCTCGATTTCCCCCCAGGTGCTGGTGATTGGGTGTGGTAACTCAGAGCTCAGCGAGCAGCTGTACGACGTGGGCTATCAGGATATTGTGAACATTGACATCAGTGAGGTTGTCATCAAGCAAATGAAGGAACGCAATGCCCACCGACGGCCCCAGATGAGCTTCTTGAAGATGGACATGACCCAGATGGAGTTTCCTGATGCCTCTTTCCAGGTGGTGCTGGACAAGGGCACCCTGGATGCTGTCCTGACAGATGAGGAGGAGAAGACCCTGCAACAGGTGGACAGGATGCTGGCTGAGGTTGGCCGTGTCCTGCAGGTGGGCGGTCGCTACCTCTGCATCTCCCTGGCTCAGGCTCACGTCCTGAAGAAAGCAGTGGGTCACTTCTCCAGGGAGGGGTGGATGGTCAGGGTGCATCAGGTGGCCAGCAGCCAGGACCAGGTGTTGGAAGCAGAGCCTCGGTTTCCCCTGCCTGTCTTTGCCTTCATCATGACCAAGTTCAGGCCAATCCCTGGCTCTGCCCTTCAGATCCTGGAGCTGTGTGCTCAGGAGCAGGGCAAGCCTGTGCGGCTGGAGAGTGCTGAGCGGCTGGCCGAGGCGGTGCGGGAGCGTCAGCAGTATGCCTGGCTGTGTAGCCAGCTGTACCGCAAGGCCGGGCTGGGGAATGTGTCCCTGGACTTGTGCAATGGGGACACGGGGGAGCCACGCTACACCCTCCACGTGGTGGACAGCCCCGCTGTGAAACCATCGCGGGACAATCATTTTGCCATTTTCATCAGTGAGTTGGGATTGGTCCCTCTCTTCCCTGGAAGGGCTGGGCTGGGGCGTTGGTGGATGGGTATGCCTTGGCTGGTTTCATCTTGCAGGGATGGTCCTTTCAGAGGTTAGACTAGCCAAGGCATGAGGAACAAACAATAGCAGCTCTCCAGCTACCTTAGATTTGAAGCTTATTTCTTCTCATCTTCCATCGCAAAGCCTTGGTGAGGTGGGAGAATGGGGTTGGTAGGAAGGAGAGAAGTAATACAGATGCATTTAGGCAAGTCACACACTGTAGAGATGGTAGTTACTTTGTAATGTCGAGTGGTGGGAGCTGTCCAGTCTCAGGTCGGTAACCTTTAAGCTGTGGGACCTGGGGAAATGGCCGTGTTTCTCTGCTGAATTAGAGAGACAGTACAGAGCAGTGGCTAAAAAAGGTCAGCTCTGGAACCAGATGATTTGGGTTCCAATTCTGTCCCAGTCACATCTTGGTGAGGTGACATTGGACATGTTATTTGTTTTCTGAGACTCAGTTTCCTCATTCGTAAGTGACATCATAACTACCTTGTGTAGTTGTGAGAAGTGTCAAAGCTCTTAGGAAGGTGCCTGGCACGTGATAGCTGCTGTATGGACACTAGTGTTATTATTGAAAGGGGTAAACAATACCAGATTTGCTAGTGCATTAATAATGATAAAAAAAAGAGAATATGAGAGAATGCTTTCAAAAATAGAATATTTTAGATAAATGCAAGGTGTCGATATGGTCATGCTGGCCACTTGTTTCCAGATGACTGCGCCATTTTTGCAGGTATTCCATCATCCTACCTGCACCTGTGGGAGCAAACATGTGCCCTGGATGTGAGCATGGAGTCTGGGGCTGGACTGCCTGGGTTTGAGTTCCAGCTTTGCCATTTATTAGCTCTGTGACCTTGGGCAAATAATGTAACTTCTGTCTCAGTTTCCTCATTTATACAACGGGACTAATAATACTACCTGCATCCCGGGCTATTGTGAAGATTCTATGTGTTTCTATTTGTTAACTGCTGGGAATAATGCCTGGTATGTAGTAAGTGTTGGTAGTATTGCTATTTTTTCCCTTGCATGCGTGCTCACACTTCTTATTCCCCCTTGGTCCTGCCTCGTGTCTGATGGCAGCTTTGCTCTGGGCCTTGTGCTCCAGGGACTCGTAGCCCCCCAGTGGGTCACAGTTGGAAGGGATTCTGGGCCTGGGCAGGGCCTGGCTCTCTGCCACGTGGTCATATCGGTAGTGGCTTGAACACTCTTCCCGGGACTCCCTGTCACCAGGCGCCTGTTTCCAGTCCCCCAGGGTCGGGAGACCGAGTGGCTCTTTGGCATGGAGGAGGGCCGGAAGCAGCTGGCGGCCAGCGCTGGCTTCAGGAGGCTGATCACAGTGGCCCTGCACCGAGGTCAGCAGTACGAAAGCATGGACAGCATCCAGGCCGAGCTATCGGCCAGAGTCATGGAGTTGGCCCCGGCCGGGATGCCCGCCCAGCAGCAGGTAAGGAAGCTCGGGCAGCAGCTTTCACAGGTCTCTGGAGAAGTCACACTAGCAGCCGGGAAGCAGAGGGTGTCCTGAAAGAAGCTAGGGCAGGGTCTGTGACTGTAGGCAGCTCCTGGAGGGCATGTCAGCAGCTAAGAGCTGAGTGGGCATCAGTCACATTCCTTTGCCCCAGGCAGTGTGAGGAAGGCCAGCGGTTGCCGATATTGAGACCCACAGGCACATCTGGGTCTGGGGTTGGGGGGTCCTCTTGGACCCACAGAGATGGCATGAAGGAGATGCTCCAGCTCTTCATTCTGTCAATGACTTGGACTGTGTGTCTATTTCCTCACTTGCGCACAAGACTCTCTTGACCCTTTTGCTGCTTTTAAAAAAAATCTTTATTGTTGAAAGTCTTAAATATGCTCCCTTTATTCCCCCATTGACTCCTTCTAGCCCACCCTGCCCCTTTTGCTTCTTAGAGCCATTATCTGAGGGTAAATGGATACTTTCAGGATATGAGCATTGCCGGTCTGGTGTTTTACTGGGAAGGAAACTGGAGGTTTTTGCCAAAGTGGTGATATGGACTTACCAGTTGACGTGGTCTGTCTGATGCCATCCTGGTCCCAAGGCAGGGTAATGGGCAGGTGACTTTATCCTTTTTTTTAAAAAAAATATACAGTTGGGGCCTTGACTTATGAGTTTAATTCATTCTGAGACTGAGCTCATTAAGGAGCTCGTTAACTCAAATTACTCTGTCACCTCAATGCAAGAAATCGGCCGAGGGACAGCTGGTATCTCAAAAAACTGGTTAGTCGGGACACTCGTAAGTCAAGGCCCCACTGTATTTTATTGATTTTTTTTTATAGAGAAGAAGGGAGAGGGATAGAAAATTAGAAACATCAATGAGAGAGAAACATAGATCAGCTGCCTCCTGCACACTCACCACCGGGGACGCGCCCGCAACCAAGGTACATGCCCTTGACCGGAATCGAACCTGGGACCCCTCAGTCCACAGGCCGACGCTCTATCTACTGAGCCAAACCGGTTAGGGCAACTTTATCCTTCTTGACAGAGGGGAAAGCCAAGGTACCTGGAGGCTGGGTGCTGTAGTAACAGATCTGAAAAAAAGAATAGGCTCCCGATTCCCAGCCTGGGCTCTGCTCACGAGGCTGACCTGTGCTTACGGAGGAATGTATTTCAGTCTTCCTGGTAGACTTGGTCGGTGCCCATCAGAGAGACCCAGCTCCTGTGGGAGGTTCTTTGTGACCTTCTCTCACCAGTGCCTACGTCTCTGCGAAGTCAGGAATCCCTGGTGATTAGTAAATATTCATGTAGGTCTTTGAAAAGCAATAGGTGTAAAGACTGGGAAAGGAAAGAGAACAGTTTAGGGGAGAAATGTATTTTTCTCCTAATTTTTTTCTCCTGTTTAGAATAATGGGAGAAAAGGATGAGAATGGCTAAGGGAAGGGAGACATCTCTTCAGGTTTGGAGTAGGTGCTTTCCCCTGGATTTCGTTATCTCATCCCCGTTCATATTCTTTCTCTCATAATTATAGTCTCTTCCCAAGGGTTCTCTCTGGCTTCGATTGTCCTGGATTGTTGAAAGTGCTTTTGAGGATTACTCTTGAGAAACTCCTATTTTTCTTGGGGGAGAACCAACTGCATTTTATAATGGTTTTTGGGGGGATCAGTTAGTTTTCAGAAAGGTAAATTAAGCCTTAATGAGATCAAGTCAAAGGCCCCAGAGAGGAACTGGAACAGAAGGGCACATCTGCGGAGTTCTACTGCCCAGAACCAAGGCATGGATTCCTCAGATAGACACAGGGAAGGGGTTCTACTTTCCCACGTTTCTTAGCTGAGCTGATGGTTTGACCACATCTTTGCTGTACCTTCAGGTGCCTTTCCTGTCCGTGGGTGGGGACATCGGGGTGCGGACCATTCAGCACCAAGACTGCAGCCCCTTGAGTGGCGACTACGTCATCGAGGACGTGCAGGGGGATGACAAGTGCTACTTCCGGCGGCTCATCTTTCTCAGCAACAGGAACGTGGTGCAGTCAGAAGCCAGATTGCTGAAGGGTGTGTCTCACAAAGGTGAGGTGTCATGAGCACATTGGTGGGACCCACATGGACACGGCATGGACTCTTGATTTCGAGTGATCAGAAGGACCTGGGAGCATGGCCGAGATGTAAGACAGACCTGGGTACCTGTGACCAGAGGCACATGGCCAAGTGGGTTGTCCTCTTAGACCACTTGGGCTCTTAGGATGTGAGTGGCCTTAAGCGGAATAGAGGTCTGTGTTCTGTTCTTGAGACAAGCCTGGCTGTGAAATGATAAGGAGCAGGACTAATGGATTACCAAGTAAACATGATCATCACTTTAATGCCTTTAGTTTAAAAGCCACTTGCTTTACAAGTTCCACATATGTCCGGTACTAATTCAACAGGGTTCTGTGAGATGAGCCATTTCTGCTGTCTGAATGGTACAGTAGAAAGGTGATAGGCATTGGAGATAGTCCTGGGTTCAAATCCAGGTACAGTAGAAAGATGATAGGCATTGGAGACAAGCAGTCCCAAGTTCATATCCAGGTGGCACTACCTACTGATTCTGGACCTAATTATTAACTCTTCAGATTCTCACGTGTTCTATCTGCCAGTAATTGGAATTACAGGGCTGTTGTAGGAGCTAAAAGAGTGAAAACCCTAGGATAGTAATTGTCATAGAGGAGGTAATTGTAAGTCCTTCCCTACAAGAATTTTTGAAGATTCTGTTAGTGGCCTTTTATTTCTCATAGGAGAGGTATTAGGACTCCTAAGTTGAGTTTTCCCAGGCTTTGGGGTATATCTTTACCACTTTCCTTTTCAGACTCTGACATGTAACCAGTTCAAATTCCTGCACATTTAACGCTTGGGTTTGTGAGTGAGATCAAGTCAGCTGCAGTCCACCGCCCCTGGTGCTTTGCTCTCTGAGGACTAGTGGACTACGCATAGGACTTCATTGTCTCTCTTCATTTAGCCCAGAAGAAGCGGAGAAAGGACAGGAAGAAGCAGTGGCCGGCTGGTACTCCAGAGGAGCCCCCTGCAGCCCCGGGGCAGTCCATCGATAAGAGCTACCTGTGCTGTGAACACCACAAAGCCATGATCGCCGGCCTGGCCTTGCTGAGAAACCCCGAGCTTCTCCTAGGTGAGGGGGTTGTCACTGCTTCCCACAGCGAGGAGCATAGGAGATGACAGAGCTAATCAAAGGAGCTGCTTGTGAATAAGAGCAGTGATCACAGACCGGCAATAGCATAAACATTCATATCTTTCTCATTCCCAACCTGCTTCTAAGTTAACGAACATCCAAATAACTTTTTCCTCACATTGAAGTTGTCATGTTGAAATGGCCATACATGTCGAAGTCTGAAGTTTTTTCCCCACTCATTTATTTAAAAATTAAGGTGTGAAGTACATCCAGGGAGATAGGTAAAGTACACAGATCTTCAGCTGTTCAGTTTGATGAATTCTCACATATTTATATACCCATATAACCAGATGGAGCCTTTAAAAACCATGTCTCTGGACCCTGGCTGGTATGGCTCCGTTGGTTGAGCATTGTCCCGTGCACCGAAAGGGAACTGGTTCGATTCCTGGTTGGTCAGGGCACATACTTGGGTTGCAGGCTCAATCCCCAGTAAGAGGTATGCAGGGGGGCAGCTGATCAATGTTTCTGTCTTACATTGATGTTTCTCTCCCCCCACCCCCTCAATAAAAATACATTTAAAAAATAAAATAAGTAAAAACCATGTCTCCAGAGAAATGCCTTTGCACTTAAGGAGAATTTCTGGCTTTTCAGTAATGCATTATATGATTCTAGCTTGAATTCCTACTTAAAAACCCGTATTACAGGCAGTGCAGTCAGCCTTCTCACTAATGACAGGTTTGGATCTGACCACAGTGGTGAAGACCACATATTTCTGTCTGTGTTAGAGCTGTCCTCACTCACAGTCCCTGCGTGTGTCCTTTGGTCCATTGTGGCGTTGATCTGTGTGGAATCCACTGCCTTTTGATCATGAACCAGGTGTTGGCCATTGTAGACCCCCATTTTGTAGAGGGGTCCAATAAGGCTTATGGTGGGGACTCTTGGTGACGAGTGCTTTGGGATTTTTAAGGGGCTACAATAACACACTGGTCATCTTCTGGATTTGTAAAGGGAAGGATTGTGAGGCCAGGATTGAGTTTTCAGATGTCAAATTAACTCCTAAATTTTGGGATGAGACAGGGAGGCCAGACCCCTAAATCTGGTATCCCCTGGGCAGAGCCAACAATTTCACTCCCTCTTTTGCCCTCCTGAGGCTGGTACCAAACTTTCCAGTGAGCCGATGGTAAAATGATGCTTTCTCCCTGTATTACAGAGACCCCGCTGGCTTTGTTGGTGGTAGGCCTGGGCGGGGGCAGCCTCCCCCTCTTTGTCCACGATCATTTCCCAAAGTCCCGTATCGAGGCTGTGGAGATCGACCCGTCCATGTTGGAAGTGGCCACCCAGTGGTTTGGCTTCTCCCAGAGCGACCGGATGAAGGTCCACATTGCAGATGGCCTGGACTATATTACCAGCCTAGCCGGAAGAGAAGGTACTGCTACTGGGGAACTTGGGGCGTGTCAAGGGAAGATTGATCCAAGGTTGTCAGGCCTATGAGGGCCTCTAGACTCCCTCTCTGAGAGGTGGCATCAGCACCATCCTAGTCTTTTTCCTGTTGGTTTGTTGACATTTTTTTCAGTAACTACAGAGTGCCAACCATATGCTTAGCTCTGTGCTCGGGGCTAGGGTCTAGCAAGTACTACGGACTGTTTCCTGACCCGATGGCGCTGACAGTGGGCTTTTCTTTTGACCCTGCAACATTAACACCTCCTCACCACCTTAAGAGACCTCCAGGATGTAGCTGGGTGAAGAAAGATGAAGAACAGTTGAGGGGTGTGTTGGGAGGTGTTTTTTCTAAAATCAGCTGGAAGTGAAGCCAGAAATAGAGCAAAACAGCATTCATACCAACCACTGGTTCCAAACCTGGGACGTTTGGCGGTGTCTGCACGTGTTGTTGGTTGTCATAACCATTGGGTAGGGGTGCTTCTGGCACCTGGTGGGAGAGACCAAGGATGCTGCTGAACTTCCCACGATGTGAAGCACAGCCACCGACGACAATGAATTGTCTGACCCCTAATGTCAGTAGTGCTGAGGCTGAAAAGCCCTGAGGCAGAAGCTGCTCGGTGGGGATCCCGACAGCCCTCCAGCTGCTGGGTTCAAGGTTCCATTTGTTCTAATATTTCATATCCCAGACTTAGGACAAAAGTCCTATTCGTGTTCTGGAGGAGGCCCCTTGATCCTTCTGCAAGTTCATAGATAGGCTTCTGGTGACTTATGCTTTCTGGAGCCTGAGTCCCTTGGGGAAAAGTCAGGTTGGTTCAGTCCTAAGGGAACCTGGGGGACTCAGGCCCACCTTTCCTGGTCTGCTAGTTCCGTAACTGATGCCTGGTTCTCATTGGACCAGAATCTCTTCCAGTAAGGGTGTGGCAAACCAGAATGACAATTTGGTGCTGGGATGAGTATATTTGGTGCTGAGATGGACAGATGCTGCCTTAGTTTAACTTCAAACTGACCATATTAAGAGTTTCACAGGTTCCCTCTCTGAGGCTAGAGTCATTCTGGGGGCTCAGGCCCAAGATAGCTAATAACATGTGAAGCATTTAGAAGTACCAGGCATGTGGTAGGTCAGCCCTTAAAGGCTTAGATCCCTGCTTGTCCAGATCAATGATTCTCAGCTCGGACTGCACTGATAATTACTTGGGGAGCTGAAGAGAAATGCCAAGCCTCCTGGGAGGTTTTCAACTCAGCTGGGCAAGAAAGGAGCCCAGGTTCTGTAGGTATTTAGAAGCTTCCCATGGTGACTCGAATGTTCTGTCAGGATTGACAGCCACTGGGACAGAGAGACTCTTAACCAAGTCAGTACCCTGCAGAATGGGCTCCAGAAGATGAGACCAGGCCCCGTCTTTAAGGTGGGGTACTCACAGCAGAATCTTGGTGACGATTCCTCTGGATGGTGATGTCAGTGGCACATCCTCCCTGTTGTCTTTCTGGCTCAGCCACCTGCGCCCACTACAGGTCACAGGAGAGATGCAGTGTAGGAATGTAAATGGCCTTATTTATCCAACAAAGACACAAAGTTTGCTTCTCTTTCCCAGCACGGCCTCAGTACGACGTGATAATGTTTGATGTGGACAGTAAGGACCCAACACTGGGAATGAGTTGTCCGCCCCCAGCATTTGTGGACCAGCTCTTCCTGCAGAAGGTCAAGAGCATCTTGACTCCTGAAGGTATGAGAACGAAAGGTCAGGAAGGGGGGATGGATGGGTCCTTCAAAAATATTTTTTTATAATGAAAAATGCGCATATCATAAAAGTGTAACTTGATCGATTTCCTTCCTTTGAACAACCACTTACCAGCACTGAACACACAGCATTTCCAGCGGCCCAGATGTCCACCTCTCACCTCCTCTTTGGGATCACCACTCTCCCAACTTCTACCAGCATGCCTTAGTCTTCCCCATTTTTGTTCTATATAAATGCAGTAATCATACAGATGGCAGTCCTTACGTTTCTGTTTTCTTTCACTCAACGTGGTGCTTGTGAGATTCATCCATAGTATTGCGTTCCCATTGTTCCTTTCGTTGCTGTGTAGTGTCATTGTGTGGCTGTAGCGCTCAGTTGCCCCCTCTGCTCTTGGTAGTTGGGCTGTTTTGCTGTTGGGTGCTTTTATAAGTAGTGCTGCCATTAACATTCGAACGATGCCTTTTGGTGAGACGTGGGCGGGTCTGTTGGGCATATACTGGTACGTAGGGCTGTAATCGCTGGATGGTAGGTGAAGCATGTGCTCAGCTTTCGCAGATGCTGCCGCCGGTTTTACAAAGTGGTTGTAGTCATTCCCACTCCCACCACCACGGCAACGCTAGCTCCCAGTCACATTCCTCCCACGTGCCCCAGACTAGGCAGTATCTTATCTCATCTTCATCACAGCCCATTTCAGATGAGGAAACCGAGGTAAAGAGACCTGCCAAGGTGGCCAGGATAACAGTTGGGACTCCACCCCAGGTCCTGGCGAAAGCTGGGGCTCTGAGCCATGTGTCTGCGGCCCCCATGTTTTGATTTGGTGTATGGTGCTGTGGTGAACAGAGTTGACTTAGAACCTTAGCTGTTGTAAGGTGACCTTGGCCATCCCTGGCTAGTTAGTACTGCATGGTGTTTGTCAAGAACATAACATCCCTGCAGAGTTGGTACATCCTTTCTTGGGGGGTGTTAGTTACTTCTTTCTCAAAGTGATTCTTTGGGAAACAGACATGGAGAATGGTGAAACCATTGCTTAGCAGCATAGGAGAGCAAGAAAGTGGGCTGACGTTTCCTCTGGTTTGCATATTTCCTCTGCTTTCCTCATTCTGCCTTCTGTGTGCGTATGTTCTCTGCAAGCTGACTATCGCTGTTGGTGCTGTCTTAGTCACCCCCAGTCTCCCTGGGGCAGAAATGGTATTTTCCTCAGAGCTGTACCTTGTCTCCACGTGTCACCAGATGTGCGGTCATTCTGACTCTTTCCTTCCCACCCTACAGGTGTCTTTATCCTCAACCTTGTGTGCCGAGACTTGGGGCTAAAGGACTCAGTGCTGGGTGGGCTCAAGGCGGTGTTCCCCCTCCTGTATGTCCGGCGCATCGAGGGGGAAGTGAACGAGATTCTGTTCTGTCAGCTGCACCCCGAGCGGAAACTTGCCACACCAGAGCTCTTGGACATGGCCCAGGCCTTGGAGCAGACCCTGCGGAAGCCAGGGAGAGGTTGGGATGGCACGTATGTCCTGTCCGATATGCTCAAGACTGTGAAGATTGTGTGATCGCTGGCCTCTCAGCCTCCTGCCTGCCTGACCGTGGGCTCCTGGCCTGCCAGAGATTGACGAAATAGAACCCACAGTACTTTCTAAGCCTCGTATTTTTCTTGGTTTCATACTCAGCTGCATGGGACCTTCAGCCTGGTGACGTTGCCTGGAGAGCTGGGGAAATAAAAACATTCTTCCTGTGCTGTCCTCTTCAGTAATACTGGTTGGTTGCCTTTGCTTCCAATACCGTGCCCTTGGGTAGAATTCAGTGTTGGAGTCCCCACTAGTAACTGATGCCTTAACGAGTGAGTAAGCTCCTTAGG